GCCACTTACGCCGGTTAACGGCAACAACGTCTTCACATTCGTCCCCCACCTCCCAACCTCAACGTCGCAGACAGACACAGACTCGACCAGACAGACACAGACTCACCCAGACTCACACTGACTCATCCAGACTCACACACAGTCACCCAGAATCACCCAGACTGACACAGACTCATCCAGACTTACACAGACTCACACAGACTCACACAGACTCATCCAGGCTCACACAGACTCACACAGTCTGACCCAGATTCGCACACACTCACACAGAGTGACGCAGACTCAAACACATTGAAGCACTATCAAACAGAGTCGAACAGACTGACGCCCAATTCATCAGAGAATAAAAAAGAGTGACACGGACTGAATGAAGCTCAAACGGACTCACCCAGACTGACACAAATTCAAAGACACTCACACAGACACACCAACACTCACACAGAGTCACACACACTTGCTCACACCCACACACAGTCAAACACACTCATCATAGAGTGAGCAGGGCCAAGGCATGGCACTTTAGATGACGTATCCCTAAAGTATGGCCAACCTTTCAACACGGTTGGGTAGTGGGCATCGTTTACCGAACAATGGCGAGACCGTCCTTGTTGAAATGGACTGCATTTGGCAACCACACGATTGGGTAGTGGGGGCCATTTAGCAAACGACTCAATAGTACCATGTTTCTCTTGCGTCTACAAGTCTGTGCACATGTGATCATGACTTATGATGCATCAAGATATTTTTCAGTCACTGTATATGGAAGTGTTAACTTGCATGAAAACTCACCGATTCTTCTGTCGAGAAACAAGTGTGACAATCCATACGTCACGGTTGTCCACACGACCATTGAGACACGCACAACGGGACAAACATAAGGAAGGAAAACAGAATGTCATTACCACACAACATCCTCACACACCGACCCACCCTCTTAATATGAATTGCAGCAATAAAAGGAAAAACGACAGAGACACACAAAAGAAGCAGCAGACAAGGGTCTACAAATTTCCGTCTTAGTTCGTGGTCAACCAAAGACATGATTAGAGAAAATGAATGTACAGATGTCATTGTCAATAACGGCATTACAAAAATCGAGGACATATGACCCGAACACATGATCACACACACACACACACACACACACACACACACACACACACACACATACACACACACACATTTGTGCAAACACACAGACCCGTTCTCCTCCAACCAGACTCATTTCTTTTTTTCTGAGGCGCCCTGCTTTTCACCGGCCTTCCTTTTCTCTTTGACGCCCCCCTTGCCTCCCCTCTCCCCTGCTATTCAGGAGACCCGGGCGCTGCTCGTTGTCTGTTCGTCTCATTAGCGTTCGCCCTCCTCCTCTCCTGTCGTTGTCTGTTCAACTCTTTCTCGTCGAGGATGCCTTTGGTGAAAACTTGCCAACGCGGTTTTTGCAATGCGTCAACGAGCCTCATGCCCCGGGGCAAGATCGTGACCCACTTCAAATGGATTGCAACCTCGTTCGTGCTCTCCATAAAATGCACAACATAGGTTTCAGCTGCCTCCAGAAGTGCTCGAATGGCAAGCATCCCGAACCGCACAGGCTCTGTTGCGACCTCTTTTTTCTTCACAATGTCGCGCACAAGCCTCACAAACGGTCTGTAAGGGATGCAAAGTTCTGTGTTGCGTTGCAGTCGGCGCATCTTTGCCATAGCAGCCTCTCTTGGCCGGCGATTGCGCCTCGGCGGCCCTTGACTCCCTCCAATTTTCTGGCCTGTGTCACCATCCATTGCTGCCCCCCCCTGGCCCCCCCCACTTCCTCTTCCCCTCCCACCATCCAGTGGTGCCCCGCCCCCCCGTCCCTTACCTCGACCGCCTCTCCCTCGTACCGTCGTTGYCCCCTCGTTGYCGCGTTTGGTTGTTGCCTTCTGCTTCGTTCCTTGGGTCGTCCGCTTGCTGCCATCGGTGCACACTGTACCAGTCACTGGCGCACTCCTCCCCACAACAGTACGTCCTGCACCCGAGTCTGCAGTCGGACCGTCAACGTCGCATCCCCCGGGGCCGTCGTGTGGGGGTCCGTTCACCTCGCCTGCCGGTTGTCTCGGCTCTTCGGACTGAGGTTCTCCAATCCCCGCATTCTCATTGTTCCCTTTCATGTCCTCCCCTGCCATGTACTCTATGTGTCGTAGCAAACCATCAGAGTACGTCACTAGAAACGGAACACCCAGAGGGTCTCTGAACTCCATGGACAGGTCTGCCCCGCAGGCATAATGCATGGGACAGACAACGGGTACCCATGCAAGAAGTGTTGACCGCCCGTGTCTGCGGTGAATGAGGCTAAGACAGTTATCAGGATAATCTGCAAAGATGTATGCACCCGCGCCATCAGCCTGCAGTCCCCACATCTTCTCGTCCTCACGACTGTCATATCCACACAGCACCATCTGACGGTCCTCAACCTTCAGATTATCCGAACAGATCTTAGCATGTTCGCGCAATAACGCTTTGTCATTCACCCTTGCATTGCATATCGAAATATGAGCCAGGACAACCATGAATTGCCAATGCTCAACAACACCTGAAGGGATCCAACCCATAGGTACCCACTCGCCTCCTCGAAGTCTGGCAGCCATCGTAACTTTGTTTTCAAAAATGGCAGGATGAAGGACACCAGGTACCCAATTCACATGATACCCGTACATCTCCGCAGATGAATGTGTGCTCAACTCCGTTTGTGGAAAACCAGTGCCAGATATGTCAATATCTGGCAGCCTTTCCGTCGTTGTCCTCTCGGGGTCCCATATACTAACGAAGAGACCATCATAAGTGACCTCCCTTCCTCTGATGTGCCGCAGACAAATGTTGTCTTCCCCAGAAAAAAACTTTCCTCTCTACAGTTGGCGAAAACACGGGGTTCTGCAGTGGGATCAGACGTGTCCCTGTCGCAGCATCAACGGACTCCGCCATCTCATACTCCAAACAATGAGACAAGAACTCCCCATTTACATAAACTGTGCTCCAACAGTTCCCCATGAGATCGCGCACAAGCATCCTTATCTCCCCATATTCACAAGGAATGCTTGATGGCACCCAACCCCACCGCGCATCCCGCCTTGCATCATTCTCCTTACACACTCTCTCCCCAACCTGGTTTCCGTCAGAAATCACCCATTGTTGGTAGCACTCCTCATGATCGTAAAAGAAGTCATTGAGCCGTAACCCCCCCCTTTCTGCCAACGCCTCCCAAAGGACATGCGTGCTTTTGATCAAATCTAGAAGCGCAACGCCATCATTCAGCCTTGTCAGTCGGTCGGAAATAATGGCAGCCATTATGTACCGCCATGTTGCCGAATTTGGCGGAGAATAAGGAACCCATGTATCACCGGTCTTGAAGGCAAAGCGCTTGAAAGCAGTGCTGAGCCCCGATCAAGCCTGGCTGCACCTTGCCGGGCTCCCAGTTGATATCGTACAGGAAATGCGTTCCTGCTTCAGTCTTGGTGATTGTGTCACTCAGAACTGTGCACATCGGAGTGTCTCTGTCGCCTGTCCCTTTGCCATTATCCGCGTCCTTGGTGCCAGCCACGCTAATGACACCCAAGAGGCCCTCTGATTCCACTTGCAACGTCGATTCCAGGTTCATATCGTTACCTACCACCCCTCTCCCATGACTGTGAACGCAGTGCTTCTGAGGACCGTCTCTTACTATGATGTTCGAGATATGTTAATGCAGGTCTTCGCTCGTGCATGCAATAGTCTCGCCCACCATGTTCGTGGAGACATTTGACTTCTCCATCTATAACACGAGACATGACAGACATGTTGCATAACATGTGACGGCCGGCACGTTAATCGAGAGAGAGAGAGAGAGAGAGAGAGAGAGAGAGAGAGAGAGAGAGAGAGAGAGAGAGAGAAAGAGAGAGAGAGTACGTGAATCGAGGACATATGTGGCGGTGTGAGGGTTTGGCGATGCAATATGAACAATATGAACACAGGGAACCCCTGACATCAACACGGTTGAGAACTTGGTGACAGGTATGCCCGGATGCAATGACAAAGTGTTACTAGACGGCCCCCGCATGCAGGCACACACACACAGGGACATACAATATCAACAGGATCGTGGAAAAAAAAAAAAAAAAAAAATTCCCTCACTTCGACACAGTTGGGAAGTGGGTGACAGGTATGCCCGGATACAATGACAAAGTGTTACTAGACGGCCCCCGCATGCACACACACACACACACACACACACACACACACACACACACACACACACATAGGGACACACAATATCAACAGGATCGTAAAAAAAAAAAAAAAAAAAAATTCCCTCCCTTCGACACGGTTGGGAAGTGGGTGCCACTTACGCCTGTTTACGGCAACAACGTCTTCAAAATCGGCCCCAATCTCCCAACCTCTACGGCATAGGTGTAAGTTATGTGATACGGTAATACCAGAGAGAGAGAGAGAGAGAGAGAGAGAGAGAGAGAGAGAGAGAGAGAGAGAGAGAGAGAGAGAGAGAGAGAGAGAGAGAGAGA